TGGTAGTTTTAATAATAAAAGAGTATAAGTAGATTTTGGTAGGGTTTTTATTTTTAAATCAAGGTCCCTAATTTCCAACTTCAGCCACGACAATTAATATCCTTTAAATACAACAAAAAAGTTTTTTTTGCACGCACAAAATAGACTGATTATTCTAAAAGTATAATCATTCTTATTATAAAGAATCAATAATTCTTATGGAATGTTTCAATTCGAGGAATTTGGGTTAAGAAATATGCCCCTGGCATTTACTTGGTATCAATAATCGGCTGATAAGGGGAATTCTAACGGAATGTATCAAGGTGGTTATTGTTATGATTTAGGAATTAGTGTTGAAATCGATAAGAATAAGGCATTTGAAAACTACAAAAATTCAGAAAAGGCAGATAATTCGAAAGGATTCTCCAAAATTGTCATTTTATCTGATGAAATGGGACGTGCAGATGGAATACTTCAATCGATTATTGTTATCTTCAAAGAATTGGAAATGAAGAGGATGAATACTAAGCATTTATTTGGTATAATAAATTAGCAAAAAAAGAAAATTCTTATGGAACATACATGTTGGTTATTGTTACGAATTTAGAATCGGAACTGAAAAGAATGAAAATGAGCATTCAAATATTATCAAAAATCAGCTGACATGAATAATTCTAACAGAATTTATCAAGTTGTTAATGTTATTATTTAGGAATTGGCGTCGAAATCGATAAGCATAAGCATTTACACATTGTCTGAAATCTGTTGAGGCAAGTAATGCAATGGGAATTTTCAGAACAGCCATTTGTTACTTTTACGGTGTTGGCGTTGAAGAAAACAGATATAAATTTTTTGTATGGATTAGTAAGTATGTTAGCTTTTAATTTTTTATTATAATATTTGTTTATAAGTTTATTTAAAGATCCTTTACACACTTTTAATCTTCAGGGAGTAAGTAAAAAGCATTTATTAATTTATTTATTAGCTATTTAAAGCTCATAAATATTTGTTTGTGTTATTTTAGCCCGCAAGTATAAATAACATTAATATTTCATAGAAAAAAAATAATAACAAAGTTCACAAAACAATAACATAACATGAATACTTATTTATTATTATGTAATTTCATTCATATTAATTTAGTCGGTGAGTATAAAAACATTTAATAATTCTAGAAATAAAACTAGCAAGACAAGTTCACAAACAATACTTATTTACTATCATTTTCTTCACATTAATTTTGTAGGTGAGTATTAAGAATATTTAACAATTTCTAGTAATAAAATCAGCGAGACAAGCTTACAAACAAATACTACTGTATATGATTTATTCACATTAATTATTTCATTCAGCTTATGAGTATAAAAAACATTTAATAATTTCTGGAAATAAAAACAGCAAAACAAGTTCACAAAGCAAGATAAATACTTATTACTATCACATACAAATTATTCCATTTAGTGAGGGAGTATGAGGAATTTTTAATAATTTTACGAAGTAAAAAAAAAACAGCAAAAGATGTTCACAAAACAAGAATAAATACTTATTTATCATCTCGTACAAATCATTAGTGTGTGAGTATGTAGAACTTTTAATAGTTTTATGAAATAAAAACAGCAAACAAGTTCACAAAACAAGAACATAAATACTTATTTACCATTACATACAAATCAATTCATTCGCATAATTATTTCATTTCAGTGAGTAGGTATAAAAACATTTAATAATTTCCATAACAAAACAAGTTCACAAAACAAGAGCATAAATATTTATTTACCGTGATTTTATTCGTATTAATTTAGTAGGAAGTACTGTATGAAGAAAATTTAATAATTTCTAGAAATAAACTAGCAAAAATAATAATATAACTTCATTTACACCAATTTATTGGGTGAGTATAAAGAAAATTTAACAGTTTCAAGACATAAAACTAGCAAAATAAGAATATACCTTCATTTAAACTAATTTGCGAGTGAGTATAAAGACACTTAATAATTTTTAGAAATAAATACAGCAAACAAGTTTATAAAACAAAAATATAAATACTTATTACCATAATGTACAAATTATTTCATTCACATTAATTATTTACTATTACGTACAAATAATTTCATTTGCATTAATCATTTCATTCAGCTCGTGAGTATAATAATATTTAATTTCTAGAAATAAAAATAGCAAAACAAGAACATAAATATATATTTACTATCATGTACAAAATATTTCTTTCACATTAATCATTTCATTCAGTAAGTATAAAAATATTTGATAATTTCCATAAATTAAAAAGCAACCCAATTTCACAAAACAAGAATATAAATACTTATTGTGGCGGCTTATGCCGAGATTGGCTTATGCTGAGATTTAGGGTCTCTATTTAAATCTACAATACCTACTAAAATCCACCTATACTTTTTTGTTAATAGCTCTAATCCTAAACCCTAACCAAACTATAAAAAAAAACACCCCTAAAAAAGCCCTCTAAAATTTTATAATTTTATAATAAAATAACATGAATCCTCAGCATAATCTGCCACACTTATTAACCATGAATTCATTCGTATTAATTTAGTGGGTAAATATAAAGAAAATTTAATAATTTCTAAAAATAAAACTAGCAAAATAAAATAATTTCTAAACATTTAATAATTTTTAGAAATAACAGCAAAACAAGTTTATAAGACAAAAATATAAATACTTATTTTGCCATATTATATTATACAAATAATTTCATTTGACTAATCATTTTATTCAGTAAGTGATTATAAAAAATATTTAAAGTTTTTAAAAATAAAAGCAGATAACCATACAAATTATTTAATTTACATTAATCATTTTATTCAGCATGTGAGTATAGAATATTAATAATTTTTAGAAATAAAAACAGCAAAACAAGAACATAAATACTCATTTACTATAGGGGGCTAGTTTTTATACCTCCTACATTTATTAACCATACCCTAACAAAACATTGAGCAACGATATCTCGGCAACCACCTGATAAAATTTGATAAAAATTTTTTAATTTTGATTCTATTAGTTTAGTCGATTCAAATAAAAAAAAAATTTATCGAATTTGGTCAGGTGGTTGTCGAGATATCTTTGCTCAGTTTTAAAAAAACTCAAAATGCCTATCAAAATAATTCTTTAAAACTTTGAGCGAAGAAATCTCGACAACCACCTAACCAAATTCGATAAAATCTTTTTTATTCAATTAGGCTAAACTCATATAATCAAAAGAAAAAAAGTTTAACGAATTTGATCAGGTGGTTGTCGAGATATCTTCGCTTAAAGTTTTTAAAAAAACTCCAAAATAAAGAAGCTGCGTCAAATTTTTTTAAAACTTTGAGCAAAGATATCTCGACAACCACCTGATCAAATTCGATGAATCATTTTTTATTTGAATCCTCAATAATTCTTATAGAATTCAAAGAAAAAAAGATTCATCGAATTTGATCAGGTGGTTGTCGAGATATTTTCTCTCAAAAATTTAAAAAAACTCAAAACGTCTATCAAAATAAAGAAGTTGTGCAAAATTTTTTTTAAAACTTTGAGCGAAGATATCTCGATAACCACCTGATCAAATTCGATGATCTTTTTTTTCTTTTGATTATATAAGTTTAGTCTAATCGAATAAAAAAGATTTTATCGAATTTGGTTAGGAGTTTGCCGAGATATCTTCGCTCAAAATTTTAAAGAATTATTTTAATAGGCGCTTTGAGTTTTTTTAAAACCTTGAGCAAAAATATCTCGACAACCACCTGACCAAATTCGATAAATTTTTTTTATTCGAATCGAATAAACTAATAGGATCAAAATAAAAAACTTTTATCGAATTTTATCAGGTGGTTTCCGAGATATCGTTGCTCAAAGTTTTTGGTTTGTTAGGGAGGGTATGGTTAATAAATGTAGGGGGCCCCTTACTATAAAAACAGTTAATAATTTCTAGAAATAAAACAGCAAAACAAATTCACAAGACAAGATTATAAATACTTATTTACCATTACATACAAATCATTTCATTCGTATTATATAGTAATACATACCTAAAATCAATGAAAATTTTTTACTCCGATTCTATAAATCTGTATAATTAATAAAATAAAAAAATATTAATTCTAGATAGATGGTTGTCGAGATTAGAGTTAATACCCGAATCCGGATTTAACCCCTTAAATCCGGATATAATTATTAAATCCGGATTTAATGATTAAATCCGGATATAATCATTAAATCCGGATTTAATAATTATATCCGGATTTATAATTATATCCGGATTTAACGTGATATACGTTGTGCGATTTGGCCAAAAAAAAAAAAAAGAACCTCTCTTTACAACTAAAGCTATTAACTTCGGATTTTATGTATAGTGTACTCAATTTAAACGGCAACTTATTTGATCGAACTAAAAAAACTCTTACAAGGTCGCACTTGAAACAGCGAGATTGGAATGTGTATATTATTTATTAAGTTAAGTTATATGTTTTGTACGCTTTAGCATTAGCTATATATTATACTAGAGCATAAAATTATACATTTTCAGGTGGGAACATAGAAGTATACTCAGAATTTCTTTTTAAAAATAACATTTTATCAACTAGATTAGGGTTAAGGCGAGTCCTTCTAGCTGAAATATGTGCGTTTGCATCAGAAAATAAACGTTCTGATGAAACTGATGTGGCGGGAATGGAGAGGTACTTGTGGGCAAGTTGGCTAAGAAGTGAAAAATTTATACGTCTAGTTTCCCACCATGTTAGCGGATCATGATTTTTGTTAGCAACTTGTTCTTTCATATAACGAGTGAATTCATCTACAGTAACATCCTTATTAGGCATTGAACATAATCCCCATAGTTCAGCGCTTAAGGAATCTTGAGGATCTTCATTGGTAGGTACTAAATTTTCTTCCACCTCTTCATTATTATTTGAAATGGTTAGCTGATTTTCTAGTAATAATAATTCTGCGCGGATTTTATCTTCAGTTTCTTTTCGCTCTTGAATGGTGGCAAATGAAAGTAACTTTATTGCTTGTGGATCTAAAAGCGAAGAGTAATTCACAGAAAATTATTTAAAACAGACTTGCTGTGAATCGATGTTTATAAAAGTCTGTAAAGTGATACGTACCCAAAAGTAAAGCCTTCAAGCCCATTTCATTAGATAAGTTCCATAACTCATCAAGAGATAGAAAAATCACAGCTCGTGCTTTTTCTAAAAACCCAGAACAGTTCACGGCTGGCAAATATTCTATGGTATTAGAATCATTTAACTCAGGAATAGCCTTTTTTTTTAATTTTTTTTTAATTTTTTTATGACTAACTTGACTTTTCTGGCGATGTACACTTCGGTGTGTATATTGCCATTGTTGTCGATTTCCTGCTGATGGTATATCGGCTTCATTATTACTACTAAGGCTTGAATCATCGTTAGTATCTGGATCTTCTAAACCATAAATAAGATCAATCCACGATTCTAATGATTCTCCATTTTCACTTATTAGCGCAAACTTATTTTTTAGAATACGTATATAAGGATATACAAGATTTAAGGTAGGATACTTTGATCCACAAACGTGTCTTGTAATTTCTTCAAATAGTTTTAAAAGATCAACCATTTGTTCTACAAATCTTTAAAATAATAATAATAATTAGTAGAATTTTACCTATTACTAATATTTTAAAGTCATATATAATATTAAAACATACTCTTTTTCTTCTGTAGTTAAACACAATTTATAAAGCTTTTCACCTTCCCATTTTGATATAGCATCTGACTTATTTCGTAATGATGCCGCAAGCCTGAGCATAGCCGGATGCAATAATAAAATTTGTTTTCACGCTAAATAAGTTGAATTCCAATGGGTCTTACAGTCGGTTAAAACTTCAAGTGGATTTATTATTTCATCTTCAGTATCACTTTGATCTATATCAAATGAATTGGATTGCCCTTGTATATGTTGCAATCGCTGCGCCTGCTTTGGAAGTCTAAAGAATGATTGAATGCTTTTAAGTCGTTTATGAATTGGCTTAATTTGTTTTAACCCTTCTTTTACTGAAAGTTGAAGGGTATGAGCGACGCATGACTGCCAAATAATATTAGGCAAGTAATTTTCTTTTAACAAACTTATTCCCTTTATCATGTTGGCTCCATTATCTGTTACAATAGTATGCACTTTATCTATTAATTCCCACTTATGTACGATAAGAAATAATTCTTTGACTCGTATGAGGATGTGGCATGTGATTAGTTGAGAGCAATGCTTCCTGAAGCCTAAAATTGGACGTTAGCCATGTCACGGTTATACCAAGATAGCCGTGATTGCTCTTTGCGGTCCACAGGTCTGTTGTCAAATTAACAGTACTAACATTTAGTAACAGCTCTTTAAGCTTTTCAGATCCCCACGAATAGGCTTCTGAAATGTGTTTTTTTATTGTATTTGTGCTTGGCACTTGATACTGTGGGTTGAAGCCACAAAGAAGCTTACGAAAAGACAGATTTTTTCATATATGTAATGGTTGAACGTCATATACAATGAATTCTACTACAAGCTTAGTTAATTCCTTTTGTTTTTTGGGCAAAAAAGAAGGTAAATCTAGGTCCGTCGAATCTATTTCTCTATTTGCTATTACTATAGGCTAAAAAAAAAAAAAAAAAAAAATTAAATAGCTTATTTGAAATTCGTTTTATAATTTTATTAAATAATTAAATTTACTTCGTTTTTATTGTCAAGGTATCTTCTAAAATTTTTTGAATTTATACGATGTTTGTCGCGTAAGTGATGGATTAAATGCCCCGTACTACCTCCTGATTTGCTATATGGATATGGGCTAGCCTGAATTCCGTCTAATTCATCCAATTCTTGGATGCAAATTTTACAATATGTAAGTGTGTTATTAATTTCATCATCTTTAAAAAAATATTGTGTAAAAGTAGCATTTGCCCTTGGGTTTGATTTGCTACTAGAAGCAACAGATGAGGCTGATTGGGTATTAGTTTGGGTATTAGTTTTAGCGGTTCGTCGTTTTTTTCTAACAGGATTAAGCATCGTTGAAATAAAATTTTAAACTAATTTTTTTTAAAAAACTCAACCGATGAGGCAAATATTTATAAAAAAATTATTTTTATTATTTAAAATAAAATACATATAATCATGACAAGAAAAATCTAATAACTATTTAACGAAGTCATTAATATAAATCATAATCTAAATATGCATTCTCAGGATATTATAAGCTTTACCACTATACTCCTCTAAATGTAACTTTTCAATTAAATAAACCTCTATAAGCTTTACAGCTATATCGCCATACTCCTATAAGTCTTCTATTTAAAACTTGCCCTAACGAATGCATTACTTTTTTAAATGCTGTTTTCCCTGAATTGCACTGGGGAGTTCAGCTGCATTATCTAACTATTCGACAAGAAGTCACTATATGGTCATACTCCTCTAAGTACGAGCTTCTCCGTGTCTTTACTCGACCAAACTAATATAACTTATTAATTTGACTCCTAAAATATACGTTTCAGACATTTCTCTTCTGGTTTCCTTAGTATTGTACCTTAAGAGGTCTAATTTTATTGATGTATTAACAATATTTAGTAAGAAAGTCGAAAAATCGAGTATTAAAATCAATTGATCCTTCAAATTAGTAAATCTAGATAACCCCTCTAATGCAGAAGAACTGAATAAAATTAAATGATAAAAAAAAAAACATAATTGCTTCAATAAACCCACATTTAGGCGATTAATAGCACTGGAATGGATCAAAGAGTTAAAGGTTCCAAAATTAAAAGATCTAGTAATCTAAAAATAAAATATATTAGAACGTGGTAAAAAATTGGAACTGCGAAAAAAAGTTCATAATTAAGTAAACTTTTACTAAAAACATGTTCACCTAAAAAGCCGCAAGTTTAGATCTAGAAACCTGCATCTTTTTGTTAATCGCAACAAAAATCAAAGCGTTCAGAAAAGGAATGTATTAAAAAGTTAGAACTATAAAAAAGTAGTTAAACTTTCACCGCATGTTCACTTGAAAAACCACAAGTTTAGAAGTATGCCACATTCTTCGTTAATCACAAAAACGGTCAAAAAATATTATCGCGTTGCTCGAAAAATCATATAGAGGTCAACAGGAAGTTTGAACTTTATGTAATTCTTGTAAGGTTTAATGTAAAGTGTCTCATCGTTATCGTACCTTCTGGATACTATTATTAAATCACTTAAATCCGGATATAATTATTAAATCCGGATTTAATGATTATATCCGGATTTAATCATTAAATCCGGATTCGGGTATTAACTCTAGTCGAGATATCTTCGCTCAAAGTTGAGGAAACTTAAATAACTATAAAAACAAACTGTGGCAACGGTTTTTCCAAACTTTGAGCAAAGATATCTCAACACCTTCTATAAAAAATTAATAAAAATCCATTTTTAATAATACAGATATATGAATCATAATAAAAAATTCATTGATTTTAGATAGATGGTTGTCGAGATATTTTCGCTTAAAGTTTAGAAAAAAATTATCAAAACAAGCTGCAGTAAAGCAGTTTTTTAAAAATTTAAGCTAAGATATCTCGACAACCACCTATCTAATATCAATGAAATTTTTTTTATTCTATATCTATATCTATATAATTAAAATGATTATTAATTTAGATAGGTGGTTGTCGAGATGTCTTCGCTCAAAGTTTGGAAACAACTTTGCTACAGCTTGTTTTGATAGTTAACTTTGAGCGAAGTTATCTCGACAACCACATATTTAAAATCAATAAAGATTTTTTATTTCATTCTATATATCTGTATAACTAAAATAAAAAATATATATTAATTTTTAGATAGATAATTGTCGAGATATTTTCGCTCAAAGTTTGGAAAAAACATTGTCGCAGCTTCTGTTATCTAAGATTTTTCCCAACTTTGAGCGAAAATCACTTATCTAAAATTAATAAAAAATCTTTTATTTTAATTATTCAGATATATAGAATCAAAATAAAAACTTTCATTTTGAAAAAATTTTTTCCACAGATTTAGTTTGATAATTTTTTTTTCTATCTAAAATTAATATATATATATATATATATATTAATTTTACAGATATATAGAATCGGAATAAAAAATTTTCATTGATTTTAGATAGGTGGTTGTCGAGATATCTTCGCTCAAAGTTTAGAACAAAGCTTAATTATCAAAACAGAAGCTGCGGTAAAGGTTTCCAAACTTTGAGCGAAGATATCTAGACAACCACCCATCTAAATTGATAAATTTTATTTTATTTTAATTATACAGATGTATTGAATCTGGATAAAAAATTTTTAATTGATCTTAATAGGTGGTTGTCGAGATATCTTCGCTCAAAGTTTAGAAAAAAATTTAGGTAATTATCAAAACAGAAGTGTGGCAATGTTTTCAAACTTCGAGCGAAGGTATCTCGAAAACCACTTGGGGTCTTTGCCTTGAAAATCGAGTTACGGAACATAGTAAATTATATGTTCCATACTTGATTTTCAAGGCAAAGACCCCACTTGTCTAAAATTAATAAAAAAATTTATTTTAATTGCACAGGCAGAATAAAAAACTTTTATTGAATTTTAGATATTTGGTTATCAAGAATGGGAAAAATTACATTTTGATAATTAATTTCGTCCAACCAGAATGTTGATGTTCAAGTAGAATCTCATTTGGCTGACACTTTTTTTCGTCATGGCTAGGGTACTAGTATATTCCTGGCCCTCATAATTTTCCTATTGTTTTCTAAATGCATGCTATCAAAAGGTTGGTCCAATGAAGTTGCATTTAGTGAGGTCTTATTGTATAAAAAATTTAGGGCCTATTATAGTTGCCGTACAAACCTAACTAGTTTGGGCCTTTGGGACTTTCTAGGGTATTCACTATGGTTATGACTAGTTATTATGTGCATAAAGCCCAAGTTAGTAAAGCACGTGGCCCAATCCCAAACAAAGTACGAATGCCAATCCGTTACTATGTACAATATATTAAACACCTTTAGAAATTTGCTAATAGTCAAACCATAAAAATCATGTGCATATGTACGAATTTAAGAATCCTTGCGTAGCATAGTTTATTAATGCAACACTTTCTACTTTGTACACGCTTATACTTATTGCGTTCAAATAGCTAATCAAGAATAGAATTATAATGTATCATATTATAGATTTAGAACAAAAATCGAGAGAAAATTGATTATAGAACAACAAATTTTAATAACGATGTAATGTTAGATAATACTAATCTAGAATAGAACTGCAATAAAAAAATACTAGATAATGCTATAATAAACTTATAATGCTAAGGTGCTTAAAGTAAAATGCAAAAGAATTTAACGCTAATTTGAACAAATTTGGATTTGGTTGTTGAGTCAAAATTTAGACCAAAATAGTTTTAGTTTGGGCCGATAATAATAACTATTTGAATGGCAACTACGCAGGTTGTCATGTCCAGTCCAAATCATTGGATCTTGGACGTCCAATGCCCAATCAAAATCATTGGACCATTGGACATTGGACGTCCAATCCAAGGCAGTGTTCGAAATTTCAGGCCTAATTACTGTTCTCATGAGAACAGTATAATATATGAGCGTTCTCAATTTGCCGTTTGTGTTCTCACTTATGCTCACTATAAAAAAAACAAAAAAAACACTCATACTAACTACCTAATAATATAACTTTTATCATCTAAGTATTATATTATTCATCTATCGGGTAGCTTCACGATCAAGGGACTCGGTGATATTTTCATGGTCATCTCATCACATGAGTACCGTATAAGCGCGAAATAACGCGCAGGGACGTTATTTTGAATAATGGCCCGAATTAAGCTTAATTTAGGTCAAAATTCGAAATCACACCCTACGCCTAAGTTAGGGTTAGTGTTAAGGTTAGGTGATAGGATAGTTTAGGCTAGTTTTTTAGTGCTAGTAAACAAATGACGTCATTGCATGATTTCACTTGTGTGTGATGATCACTGGGTTCCGTGTTCCTGAAGTATCTACCACTTATGAGAACACTTTACTGTTCTCAAAAAATTTTTAATAGTGAACAGTAAAACATTTTTACTGTTCACAAACTTATAATCATGTTTTCATGAGAACTCTGAGAACACTGATCCAAGGTATCCAAATGTTCAATTTTGTCCAATGCGCATTACTGACTATAGAGCTTATAGAATTTTGATTTTGATCTCTGCAGCTATCTAGTTCATTATTAGTTAATAATTCCGCGATAATTAATTATTAACGTTAATAACTCATCACTAATCATATTATCTAAGCCACAAAATACTGTTGATCAATTAGCTCGTTGACTTATAGAATGGTCTAATTGGCCAAAAAAATAAATCGCAACGTTTAAGTCAAAATAAAACCTAAACCTACAAAACCCTTTTTCATAGTCATTACATGTACTAAATCAACGAAGTCGACAGAATTAAATTCGAAAAAATATTTAATAGTATATTATTTAAAGGAAAACATAATGCAGTACAGCATTTTAACAAACGGCATTATAGTATTTCTGCATTACGACATTACGCTTTACGGTGTTACTATCGGAATGGGAGAGCTTGCAAAATAAATGGGCTGGTTTAATTCAGGATAGTAAACGATGTAAGGCAGGGATATACGAAATATGTGTGTTGTATATAAGATTTAATCTGTATGCGCATAAAATCAGTATAGCAGGCACGCAGTATAATCGTAGTGTCAATCAATAATACAATAGTCAAAAAAAATAAAGATATACGATATAATAATAATGTACGATATAATGAAAGAATCACTCAGATAACTTTATTATAAAGGAGGAGACAAATACCTAAGATACAAGTGAGACGGCTTTTTATACATGATAGCAACTTAGAATTCCCCCGATATACACGATGAAACACTTCCTTGGAACATTCTATTATTAATTACAAAACCTTATCTTCACCAACACCAATTAAACTTTCCCCTTGCGTCTTTATCTAATTAAAGACGTACATCCGAAATACGAACTTCTATACTAATCCTCATCAGGCTAACATATGGGCTGCCGTCAATAGAAATCAGGCAGATCTACATTTGAAAAAAATTAATGCCTTAACTTTCACAGCTCATAACTCAATGGATTTTAAAGCTATCTTGATGATTTGTTATTCAAAAGAAAGCTTACGATCTAAGAATTCTTTTGAATATTAAACCATCAAGATAGCTTTAAAATCTGTCGAGATATGAGCTGTGAAAGTTAAGGCATTAATTTTTTTCAAATGTAGATCTACCTGATTTCTATTGACGGCAGCCCATATTATCTATAACAAGTGGATGCCTAATCGTTCACGATGCTTAGTATTGCCCAAGAGAAAGAACTATTGTACTTTTACGCGTCACGGAGTAAATATAGAATGAGAATCGGATATAGAAATAACATAAATGTATAGGCAAATAAATAAGGGAAAGGGATAACTATAGATAGCAACAGTAATAACTAAATATAGTAATAACGTAGGGTGAATATAAGGAACAAAATAGGAAAAGGACGATCGATAAAAATAGAAATAAGGTAGGACGATGGAGGGCTATCGGAAGTAGTATCAATTAAGGAATGATTATAAGGAAGCTGATAATTATAAGGAACATTGAGGCGCAGAAAAGTTATTAGTAACAACGGCTTACAGCAATTACAACAAAAATACGGCATGTTCCGTAAACGTATTAATTTGTAAATTAATTCTAACACAAACTATAGTCGGGTTATTTTGGTATGAAAATAGATTCATTTAGGATCTGTTAGTATGAATATGAATTTGTAAATGCTTATCAGAAATTAAGGATGCATCGGTCCAGAAAAAGACCCGGGACAACTGTGATATTAATATCACCCAATCAAATTTCTTGATCAGGTGTAACGTAGATCATGTTCACACCTGACAATGATGCAGACATTTCTCAGAGTAACGACTACTTACGGCATTATGGCTATGACGTAGAGGTCGTACTACCCGAGGTTATATTGCCGTGAGATAGTTGTCGTGAGTGATGTAGTATGCCGTATAGCGTTACTACCCTGAAAAATTTCAAATTTCAGTAAACACAAAAAATAAATGGTTTTGTACGAAATGGTTCATTCGCTTTACACAATTATAATCAATTTTCGTATCCAATCAAGTTGCTGAATATACAACAACAAATCCTCTTTTGCCAATTTATTTAACGTTAGATACCGTATAAGCGCAAAATAACGCCTACCTATGTATTATTTCGAAACAATAGTTGATTTTCTAAATCCAATACAGTTAACCTTCCATAATTGCATGTTTTTTGGTAAAAGTTCGTTTATAGAATATTCATTTATGTACATAATCTACAATATTAAATAATTTGATCAAATTATGTGCACTTATAATTATAGGGTAATTTGTTGAATGAAATCCGGTCAATTACATTCCAAGGGTTCTAAGCTGAAATTCTCTGATGCAATTAATATTCACATTTTTACTTGTTGGGCAAACACCATGCTTTAAACGCGTTGTCTTATTACAATGTATTTTTTCTGTATTAGGTTATTTTAATCGTTGTCAAATATTATATATATTTTTTATATCTAAAAATTTATTTTAATAATCACTAACCGAATAGAAAGGTAATCTAAAGGTATTAGTTAGTAGTAAATTAGTACTTGTAAACATGAATCACTTTTTTAATCCACCGATTAACAGATCATCTTTATATTCGCCCACTAAATTAAGGTGAATGACGGCATACGGTATTAATACAACATACAACACTTATACGGCATATGGCATTTCTACTTATACGGCAAACATGACGTATCGCCGTGCTATTTTTGCTGGGGTAGCTACCTCCAAAATTCTAAGTGTAGTAATTACGACATTTTGACCAATAAAATCTTATGCATTAAGATATACATACGGACCGGACCGGACCGATGACTATCTGAAATCATGTATATAAAGAAAGTCTAAAGACCTTTAATAAAGATTAGAAGTCTGATGTCCTTTTGACTCTTTTCATAATAAAGAAGTATTCTTATAAATCATCCTAATCATTCGTTACCATCCTAAACTTCACGGCTAAATATTAAAGTCATGTGATTTACCAATTTTATATTATAAAAAGTATATATTTTATTTGAAAAATGAAATTAAAAGATCACAAATTCTGCTCTTTGGTTATATGCGTATGTATTTAATCTATATTAAAAAACACACACACACTTATTTACGAAGGTAAATTTCTAATAGCTTTGCATAAGGCATTATCGAGTGAGATTAAAACAAATTCATTGAAAAACATAATTGGTGAATATAAAATAAAGATTTTATTCTTTCACACAATTGTAACAGTTTCGCTATCGGTTGCACATCTTCCTGGTGTATCGTAGTTCCGTCCATCCATTTTTATCAAGAACAGCACCAATACAGCTGTGGCTTTTGTATGCAGGGTCTTCAAAAGAACCAAAATTAACTCCTTGTATGTACAACTTAGTTGACATTTGTTTCCATCTCTATCTACAGTACGACAAATATTAGTTGTACAATCAAAATCACTAGTACAAGATTCTCTTAAGTTTCTTCTCTTAAGATCGATGCTGACTGCACTGGCGAGGATGAAAAAGAGTACATTCAAACCTCTATAATGCATCTTCCATAAATGCACCCACTATGTAAATTCTCTCTAAATGAACGCACTGATATAATTCCAAATTAATAGAAATATAGTAAAACTCCCCTCTATAAATGCAAGCCCTCCCTAAATGAACATTTTTAAAAATTTGTCCTATGGTCCCGGGGGTGAAATTATAGAGGTTTGACTGTATCCCGAAAAACAGGATCGAGAAAATCTTTTTTGCCTGGAATTTGGTCATTTTTGTTCGAGTGTACTATAAGTTTTTTTTGATGATTCATCAAAAAACTTATAGTATACTTGAGCAAAAATGTCCAAATTCCAAACCTCAGGTAGGGTAGGATGACCCGTAAAATTTTAGTTTTAAAAACTCTATTTTTCTGATAACAACGACAAATTTAGTTTAAATTTAATAAATTTTAGATAAATTTTGATAGATAAATTTTGATTTAAATTTAGAAAAATTTAAAAGCTCATACTTTTGTTTTGTTAAAATACTTAACAATTCATTATTTAAATTTTGCTAATTGTTTTGAAGAATATTATTATAATATAAAATTAGGAATCAAATTGTACCAAGTCGCATAAATTTATGTTTCTAGATCATGGCATTAATATCCAATACAAACTATTCATATACTGTATGTTTTAGAAGTTAAATACGTTAAATTTGTATAAAATTTTTATTAAAAATAAAATACGTATCACTAGGGATAAGCAAATCAAATATTTTTTGAATCTACTGCGCAGGCTGTATAGCCTACACAGGCCCACAGTATAGTAGTTTACTGCCAATGCAGACCAGAATTGTGAAATTCCGAATATTTCAAATCTTCAAAATATACTTCCTGTGCAGCATCCCATTTATACGTAACACAAACTATAATACAATATGGAAATTTTTAGAAAATTTTAGTTAAATTTGATAATTTTAGATTTAAATTCCCTAGAATTTAAAAATTTGAAATTTGAAATTTTTGGTAAAAAATTTTATATCTAAATTTTACAAGTCCCTGGTACCCACTTAGGGTACGGGATGGGCCGGGTTAGGTCAGGTTCATTTAAACCCGACTAGGGTTATTAATCGGTCCGTCCGGTCCGTCTTGGTCCAAAGACCGACGGTCTTTTAAAAAGTTGGACCGGACTGCGGTCCGGGACTGATTAGGACCGATCGGTATGAGACTGGACGGACCGATTATTAGACTAATTAAATGCTACATAAGTTGCATCAACATGTATAATTACCTGCTATTATTATAGATTCCATTCAAATTATTGGTTTATTGCTTGTTTTATTAAATAAAAGCTACCTCTAACCGAATATTTAAACCTGTCTATTATTATTATTGATGAAATACGCATGAATTTTGAGAATTATATACATAATTTTCGTAGGAATATTTAATGGATTTGTACTGTAAGTATATCTAGACAATAATTCTAATTAAATATATTAAATTTGTATATCAGATATCTAACTCTTGTTTTTTTAAAAAACCAGTTATTATCTCTTAAACTGTAGAGCAATTCCAGGCAAATTTGCCTGGAAAATTACTATAAATTTGCTTATGATCTACTTTTTTTAAA